CTCACCGCCGACGACCGACCTCCATGGCGTTGCTGCCATCAAACGCCGGCGCTCGTATGAGCATCTCGTAGAGGAGCATGCCAAAAGTGAACATGCCGCCCTCGAAACCCTCGTCGGCTTCGCGCAGCTGCTCCGGCGCCATGCACGCCACCGATGGCACCACCGCCATCGTCCCCTGGTTGCTCTTGATGACCATCCGTCCGCTCTTGTGTCCACCACCACGTTGGATGGCTTGAGCGAGCCGTGCCCGCCGCCCGTGATCTAGTGGACCTCGGCGAGCGCATGCGCCAGCGCCAGGCTGATGCTCAACGCCCACACGTGATCAAGGCCCGAGCCCGAGCAGTCGCGGCAATTGCTGGAGGCAGCGGCGCCCATTAATATGGCCGCCGTTTTGTGCGCCCACGGACCCGTCGCATGTTGTCATTGCTCGTGAACACATTGGCTCGCACCCGCGGCAACAGACCACCATTTTTTTCGACACACCCAACTCCCTACTCTATCCCCCCCCCCCCCCCCCACACACACACACACACATACATGCCACCGACCACAACCATCACATGCATGGCTATCTGCATAGCGCTATTCGCCGCGACAACTGTCGCCGTCTCCGTCCGCCCTCTCCGCCTCGGCCTTGTCGAGCACGTGGTCGGCCTCAAAATTGCCTCGGACGGCGGCACGCAAGTCGCTGACGACCACCACGCGGACGCGACCACCATGCTCGATGGCTCGGCAGACCTGCCACCAAAGCTGCTGGAGCTTGTGGATCATGGCGCAAGTCTCGATGGCCATGTGGTTCTCTTCTGCCAGGACCACTGCGACGAGGACGTAGGCAAACTCGCGGTGGTGGTCGACAACGCCATCAACAACGCCATCGCCGCCGGGGACGAGCATGGCCTCCACCTCGGTGCATGGGTCGTCGATGTCGGCGCAGAATTCCGCGCGGAGTTCCCTCCCACGTCCGATGATGACTCTGAGGATGACATCAACAGCGCCGTCGATGACGATGATGAGCGCTTTGTGTGGGAGGCGAGCGCCTCCCGCCCGTCCTTCACCGCACAACGGGTGGACCGTCTTGGGGCTGTAGGCTCGTCCTCTGTCTCATTTTACGCCGATGGCGAGCTCCTTGCCCGCCATCGCCACCGCCAGTTTGGCCCGCTTGACGCTGGCGATCTTGCTGCCTGGATGGCCAAGCAGATTGTCCCGCCGGTTGCCATCGCCGACTCGGTGGATGCTGTCCACGCCCTCACCGACACCGTGCTCGACACCGGTCACGATGCCCTCGTTGCCCTCCTCATCCTCGGCGATGCCCAGCTCGAAGCCCACCGTCCTCTCCTCACCCATCGCCACCACGCCCATCCTGACGCAGACACCGCACCCACTTCCGCCGCCGCTTTCATCCACGCCGCATCGCTTCTCCGCCACGAGGCCACCTTTGCCGCCGTGCCCATGACAGTCGCCCGCGCCGTCGCCGACGGCGCCGCCTCTGCATACGATGCCAAGCCACATCGGATCCTGCTCGAAGGCGTGGCTGACAAGTGCGCCATCGAGTCGGCGGGACACGCCCTCGCCGGCTGCATCGTGGCGGTGACCAACCATGCCGAGGGCGGGCGTGACGAACGCTACCCGCACCTCGAGGTCTACCACGACGATCCGACAACATCGCCGGGTGCCCTGCGTGCCTTCTTTGAGCGCCAGCTTCATCCGCTCGTGGCTGTGCTCACGCCGGCCAACGTCGCCCACTACGAGGCTATGCAGCTACCGGTCGTCTACGTCTTTGTTCCGCGCCTCGAGTCGGACAACGACGATGATCGCGCGCGCGTCGCTCGCCTCCGCGATCTTCTACTGCCCATTGCCAACAGCTACCGCCATCAGCTCCGCTTCGGCCTCCAGGACGCGGCTACCTACGTCGCCCATGCCCGCCATCTCGGCCTTGCCACAGACGGCGCCTGGCCCGCCCTCGCCATCGAAGACCATCCGCTGCACTATGCCTACCACCTTCGCGGCGAACGCCTCCCCTCCTCCAGCCCGCTCAAGCTCAAGCGCTTCTTGGCCTCCTTCTTGGCCGGCAAGCTTGAGCCGACCCTGGTCTCCGAGCCGGTGCCCAGCTCGGCTGCCGCCCGCGGCAAGGCCACCCGCCTCGTCGGATCTACCTTTGAGCGTGCTGTGCTGACGGCGAGCAAACCGACTCTGGTCATGCTCTACGCCCCATGGTGTGGCCACTCGCAGCGGCTGCTTCCGGTCTTGGATGACCTCGCCGCCCTCTACCATGGCGCCGCCTCGCCGCCTCGCGTAGCCGACGAGCACATCCACCTCCTCCGCGACGCCTACGGCTCGCGCGAGGTCAATGTCGCCATCATGGACTTTACCCGCAACGACGTGCCCGGCAAGCGTGGCAACCGCATCATCCGCGCCTTTCCCACCATTCTCCTCTACTCGCCGTCCCATCACGACGAACCAGCCGTCTTTGGCGGCGACGCCCGCGACGACCTCGTCTCAATCCTCCGCTGGCTCCGGCGCACCCTCCGTCGCAGCGACTTTGGTCCACCGCCGCCCGTCCCTGTCCCGCACGGCCACGACCACGAAGAACTATAACCCCGACGCCACCTTGCCACCCTGTAGAGCCAATCCAGCCAGCCTCCAGTGACCTCCAATTTTTATCGCTCCCCATGCACCCATCCACCACCACCTCTTCCCAAACCTGTCAATTATATCGCCGCAGCACCCGCGCGTGCCAAACAAATTTATTGGCCCCGGCCCACGTGGGTCAGCCAGGGTCAGCGCACGCCCCCTCCTCCTTAGTCCCAGACACACACACATCTCATACGAGTTACTACAGTGCTACGAGACCGCACATTGTGGCATCTTCTCACTTCTCTACCTCCCTCCCCCATACTCTACATACATGCACAGTAGGAGCCTTGCTGCGTGGCATGGTACGCCTTCTTCCACCACCCACCCCATCCGGCGTCTCCCTCCATATTTTTAGCTAACGCGGAGGCATGCGCCCGCGTTTCACGAAGATCACAGCTACAGACTCACTCGCATTCTCGCCTCGCGCTGAATCAAAGCTGCCGCGCTTGCTCTTGTGATCGTGCTGGTCCTCAGCAGCAAACCAGTGCTTGCCCTGAAAGAAGTGGGCATGTGCTTTCTCTCAGAGACGGACAGCGTTTCGACCAGGGTTCGCATCTGTGGCACCGGCAAAGCGTGGACCTACCGCTCGCTGAGTCTGCCTGGGACGTCCATGGCGGGTGCTCCCTTCATCACTACCCTGAGCGACCGTTACATCATTGGTGATCTCGACAAGCTCATCGCCTCGGATACAAACGGTACCCTAAAGCAGAAGCCCGACGTCATGTTCTGCCACGACGTCGATGACAACAACCAGGATGACGACCTCAACGCCGATTGCTACACTGGTGGGTGGTCTTTTCAAGACCGAAGCTCAACCTTAGTGGAGAAATGCAAGGAGTCTGAGTCGCCAAGAGACAAGGACCCCGACGATGACTGCTCCATCGAAAACCTCCAGGACCACGTGGACACATGGATTCGCGACGACAACCATGCTACCTCTTCCCACTACACCAAGTTTGATTTTTGCTGCCGCCGGGCGCAGACTGTTGCAGACCTCGAGTCGACCCCCTCGCCCAACTTCTACGTGCCCTCCAAGAGCTACGATGGTGGCGTCATGCTTGACCCAGATCCGGACATGGACTGGCGCGACGGCTATGAGCCGACCGACCCTAGCGACTGGGATGGCATGACGGGCTCATCGCCCGAGTTGGCCCTGCAGCGGGTCAAAGCCACTAGCTTTGGCTCCAAGTTTGACGACAAGGCCTTCTGCTATCATCCCTACGAGGTCTTTGAGCTCAACAATATCGTGAGAGGCGATTGCGCCAGTGGATACAAAAAGGTCGAGCTGGTGATTGAAGACATGAGGAATGGCATGGTCATCTACTATCCGCACACAGAGGGGCCCCAGGACATCCCCGTTGCCCGCTTCCACGACGAGGACTTTGTCTTTACCCTCTGCTGTGCCGAGGACGGATTCGACTGTGGGAGCAGTGCCGACTGCAACGGCAATGGAAAGTGCTCGCTCGAGACTGCCTCCTGTGAATGCAACTCGGACGACCACACCTACCCGCACTGCGGTGGCTGGTGCGGCGATGGTGTTGTGCAAGACGACTTTGAGCAGTGTGACGACGAGTTGGATCCAGAGTGCGATATGCGGACGTGCCGTGGCAAAACGCGGCCGTCCGACATCTCCTTCTCCAATACCGCCTACAACGGCTTTACCGCAACCTTTTCCACCTCTGCCTTTGGTCATCATTGTCTCGATGTGGTGGTTCACCGCGGTTGTCTTTGACGTCCGTCATGGTGGCTCATCGCTGCCCGGCTTTCCAGCTGAAATCACCTCCTCTCCGCCACGCATCGCCGTGTCTGGTCTCGACGGCATGCGCGAGTACTCCGTTTATGCTCTGCCCCATCCCGCCGGAAAAGGTTGGGCTGTGCCCGAGACCGGCGAGTGGCAGCGTTCGGCGCCGGCGACGGTGACCACCAACTGCAACTGTCCGGGACGGCCCTCGACAACTCCGCAGAACTTTGCCGTCACCCAAAAGGGCACCGAAGTCTTCTTCGCATGGAACGATGCCACAGCGTGTGAGGATCGCTTCACTGTCCATCGCCGCCTCATGTCCGACCCGCAGCCCTCCATCATCGCCTCCTACTCGCTCCCGGCCAAGGACGCTTGCTCCACCGAGCCGCTCGCCCCGACCTCGGACGCCGACAACGTAGCCAATCTTATCCTCGGCTCGACTTACGAGTACTCGATCGAGGCCAAGGACTCTATCTCCGGCTTCACCTCTGCGCGCGCCACCGCCGAGCTCAATGTCGACTGGGTTGCCACCATCATGATCAGCGTCCTCTCCACCTCGGGCACTGGCATCGTTGGCACTTCGGTCGTTGTCACCTACCCTGGCTCGGCTGTCCCACTGGCCATGGCCGTCACCGACCGCTCTGGTGCCGCCCAGCTAGCCATTCAGATCCCCAACGAGCCCAACGCCGCCATCGAGCTCATGGTCCATGCATCCAAGACAACGGCAGGCAATGTCCACACCTACAAGTGTGCCGGTGGCAGCCCGTGCAACAGCACGCTTGTCTCGGTCACACACCTCGGCACGGCCCAAGCCCAGTTCATGGATGTCTCGGTCGTCTCGGTCGCCGGATTGCTCACAGTCGCCTCCACTGCCGAGTACACTGAGGACGCGCGCCCGTGTCCTGTCGCCGATCCGCGAGCCTACATCTGCTCCTATCATGCAGTCACCTTTGAGCGCCTCGAGTGCACCCGCCCAGACGCGGCCGGTGCCTACGCCCTCACCTTCCCAGTCGGCATCTCGGTCCATGTCATGGCGTCGTGGCAACTGAAGAACGTCGATACGACAGAGAAGCCCAACTTTGAGTTTGCGCCGGCCATCGGCAAGTCGGCGCACAAGATGACCCCGCTCCCGCTCGCATCGGCGTACACTGGCCACGGCTCTATCGAGTCGATCACTGTGCTTGGTGCGTCGTCAACGCGCGGGAGTTCGCCAAAGACCTCGCTCCCGCTGCCGTCTTTCCTCCTCGCGGCCTCGATCGAGCACTACGAGGGTGTCGACTTTGAGGACCAGACCGCGGTTGAGCTCTCTGTCGAAGTCGCCGGCGGTAAGTGCAACTTCCCGATCGGGCCGGGCGTCGTCCGCCTCATCGCTGCTACGTGTCCCAAGTACATCCGCCGCGTCGTTGCCGGCTCGTCGTCCTCGTACATCTCGACCTTTGCGCTTCCGGCCATGCTCTTTGATGCCACTTTTGAGGACATCGACGCCATGCAGCCGCATCTCTGGGTCCCGGGCATCTCGGTCGGTCAGGTCGGCACCTACTTCCGCGCCGTCCTTGAGGACCGCGTCGAAGCCGATCTCCGCTCCGGCTCGAGCACCGCCCGCTACGAGTTCCACGTTCCGCCCCAGATCTCGATGAAGGGCATCTCGTTTTCCTCATCGTCGTGCGGGTACGCTGTGCTCCCGTTGGAATCCATCAACTACGTGGCGTTGGTCTTCGAAGAGCATTTCACAGACCACATGCTCTGCCGCGACTTTCCCATCACCTCGCCCAACCTGGTGGCCGAGTCCCGGGACGAGAAGCCGCGAGTTGCGGCGACGATCAGAGTCTATGACACTGTCTCGACCCAGGTCCTTACCGACGGCTCGGTCTATCCGTGCGCCACCGATGCTGGCTGCGAAGTCCCGCTGCAGCACGGGTGGCCGGCACACGCCATTCTCGGCGGAGTGGACAACGTGACGTTTGTCGAGCTCCCTCTCTTGCCTTCCGCGCCGAACGTCCATCATCCAAGTCTGCTGTACCAGTACCGAGTCGACTTTGACCAGCCGGGATATCCGATGCTGTAGTTGTCATGGCCCATTGCAGTGGCAGGTGAGCTGGCCCGCCCAGGTGGCTTCCTGATGCGGATGCCAACCGAGGTGGTGACGTCCAAGTTGTACGATCCGCCTGGCGGTCTTTCGACCTCGTATGTCGAGAACGGCAAATCTGTGGAGACCACGTTCGAGTACGCAACAGGTGGAGAGTTTACCCGCGAACAGTCTATGACCCTCGGCCATGGCGTCAAAATCAAGAATACGGCGTGCGTCGGTGCGCCTGGGGCCACGACTTGCACCGACACAGTCGACACAACGATAGCGCTCGAGCACACCGCGGAGATGGCGTTCACGCTCGGCTCGGACACGTCGCAGACCGAAGGGACGATGACGATGAAGTCGGACAAGATGACCACGTCAGACGATCCAGCCTTTATCGCTGTTGACGACGGCGCGGGCAACACCATCCACTACCCGGACCTGCTGGTCATGCCAGCACTGACGGTCAAGTTTACTCCGACGGACAAGGTCGCCTTTGACGCCGATGCAGCCAACAGCGGCAGCTGCGAGTCAGAGCATCGCAATGATGGCCTCTCCAAGACAACGAGCATTCAGTGGGCACCCGAGCCGACCTCAGTCCTTCTCTACCACACCATCTATGACGCAGTCACTGGCGTTCTGCCCGAGCTCCACATGCTGCTCATGCTGGAGCACAAGAACCCAAAGTCTGATCCTGTACAGATCGACAGGCTGACAAAGTCGATACATGCGTGGAACCTCATCCTCCTTGCGCACAACCTCGACTACGAGATTGCACAGCCGATTGAGCTGGGTGACGCCTCCGAGCTGGTTTTCTCAGGCGGCGGGTACACCATCGAGAGGACCTCGGTGGAGGAGGTGTCCGACGGTGATACATACGACTTTTCGTTCTACATGGACACTGCCGTGCAGAGCGAGGCCAAGTTTGATACCACTCTTTTCCAGTCAAAGGTCGCCATCGGCCTCACCACCAAGTTTGCCGGCCAAGTTCGCGTCGGCAACTCGGAGACGAGCAACACAGTGACCTCCAACGAGGTTGGCTTCACGCTCGGCGATGGCGAGCTCGGCGACTACTTCCAGGTCAAGGTCTTTGAGTCGCCCAAGTACGGCACGCCGCTGTTCAAGACCACAGGCGGTGTGTCCAAGTGTCCGCACGAGATCGGGACGACGCCGCGCGAAGCTGTGGCTTTCAACCTCCTCACCTCGGGCACCGTCATCAACATCCCACCGCTTGGTGCAGCCTCCTTTGAGGCGGAAATAGTAAGCACATCGCCGACTCAGGAGGCCATGGTCATGAACTTGCGACCGGACTTGGTGACCAACCCGGACGGCCTGGTCGTCAAGCTCAACGGTGCCCCATTCATCGAGCCGGTCGAGATCGCCGCCGGCTACAACTCGCCCACCAAGGTGACGTTTACGGCTTCACGTGGGCCGTCCGCCTACATCTATGACAACGTCGCCATCAAGGCTGTCTCGCTTTGCGAAGACGAGCAGTACTACACCATGGGTACCCTCTCGCGCTCAGCGCCCATCGAAGGCGCGATCGCGCTCTCGGCCCGTTTCTTGCAGCCGTGCGCCGGACTCTCCTGGGCCGGCGATCTTCAGCGGCAGGGCAAGTTCCTCATCAACACCGCCTCGCTTGAAACCGCCTTTCCTAACAAGATCCGCGGCCTGGTGTACAACCCCGAGTACTATCTGCAGGCCTGGAGCGAGCATCCGCGGCTGGCGAGCGTCCAGCTGGAATGGCGCCGGCGCGGGACTGCCACCTGGGAGCGTGCGCGCGATGCATCGCTAGACGTCATCGATCTCGTCGCCGAGGAAGACATGTTTGGCTTTGGCCTCTTTGAGTGGGACGTCGCCAACTTTCTCGACGGCTTCTACGAGCTGCGTGCAGTGGCGCAGTGCGTGCCGACCGGGCGCGACGATCTCGACGCAACGTACGCCACCGTGCTCTCGGGCGTCATCGATCGTGTCCCGCCAGCCCAACTGGGCGAGGCAGAGCCTGCTGATGGCGTCTACTTTCCGGGCGATGCCATCAGCATTGCCTTTACCGAGGACATCGACTGCGAGGCGCCGACGAGGTTCCTGTACTCGGTCATGGTCGATCGGGTCCCGCGGCCGGCCTCCACCCTCAAGGTGCGGTGCGAGGGCAACACCATCAGCTTTGGCATCGACAACACCCTCCCGCTCAGCTCGCTCGCTGGCGCCGAGGTCATCATCGCCCTCTCCAACGTCTACGATCTTGCCGACAACGTAGCGCCCGAGGTCTTTGAGTGGGTCTTCAGTGTCTACCCGGTCCAGGTCAAAGACACCTCGGTCCGGCTTGACGGCCTCGTCTTTGGCTCGCCGTACGGCTCACTCTCGCCCAGCCCCCAGGCCTGGGCCGGTGCGCTCATTGCCGACCTCGAGATCGCCATGGAGCTCACGCTCGGCCCGTCCGCTTCTGGCCCGCAGCCGGCCTCTTCCGCAGACGTCCGCGTCTCGGCCGGCATTGCCGACCGCATGCGCGTCTCGTTCATCGGGCCCAACCCGGCCAATGCGGGAAGTACCATCGTCTCGCTCTTTGTCACGGCCGGCAACAACCCGCCGGCCGACGACCTCGCCTCGGCGGTTCGTGCGATCGTGAGCTCGGGCGTCGAGGCGGTGACTGCACGGGCTGCGCGGGGTCTGCGCGCCAGCCGCCGCGCGCATGACCTCTTCGCCATGACACTGCAAGATCGCAAGGCCAGCGAAAGTATTGCGATTCGCGCGATTGCTTTGCCTACGCTCGCCACGCTTGTCGCCTCCAACTCGACGGTCGATGCTGTGTTTGTGCCATCCCAGTCGGACGAGGTGACCAACGCTGTGGCCAAGTCCAAGCATCTTGCCCAGGTCGCTGCTGGCGACAACATCAACAGCGACGGTGAGATGCGCAAGACGACCAACGAAGCCGTCATCGGCTCGTCGCCGTCGTCACCGAGTGCATCGGATGAGCACTTTTCGCTCCTCCAGTTTGCTCTCATCAACGGCTCGATGCTGGTGGTCTCGGTTGCTGTCATCATTGTCTCGATGTGGTGGTTCAACCGCGCTCTGGCTCGGCACGTGACCAAGGGCGAGCATCGCCCGAGGAGCAAGAAGAGTATGCACAACAGTGTGTCGAACAAGGCGCGGAGCTCGTCGTCAGCCAGCGAATCCAGCTCCGGATCCGGCGTGCCGATGCGGCGGAGGTGGTCGGCCCGGACCGACTCGTCGTACACCTACGATGGAAGCATCGCCAGCATCACCACCGCCACCGCCAGCGAGTATGCGTAGGGGGGGGGACTGGCCAACCAGTGATTGTGGTGGGGAAAAGGCACGCTATTTACGCCGTGCAGATAGGTAAAGAGGGGATGCGCCCCGGCCGGCGCTGATCAGACGTACGGGCTGGCACCGCTGCCATACCGCATCACCTCGGTCGGTTCGCCCGAGTGCGAGGAGCTGGAGGACGAGCTCGCGCTGACCGACGATGACGACATCGACGACGAGCGCGCCTTGGAGTAGGTCGAGACGGCCGATGCGTAGTCGGGTGGGTTGGTGTCGCGAGCTGGATCGGACTTGGGTTTGACGGTGTGGTCCTTGGATCGGCAGCCGCGCCAGCAGGCGCAGACGACGATGCCGATGACAATGAGAGCCCCGACGGCAGAGCCAGCGATGATGAGCGTCAGCTCGAGCGTGTCATCGGTGGGCGAGTCAGCGGCGCGGCCGGTGGCGACGCACGCGGTCGTGTTGCATACGATCGAGGCAACCGGGGCGGCGGCACGAGTGCCGATTCCGTTGTAGGTGACTCGGACCGATGGGGTGCGTGGCGGGATGATGCACGAGTGGCTCGTGATGGCGTAGTCCTCGCCGACGGCAAACAGATCCTGGCCCGATCCCTGTTGGGGATGGAGGACGAGGGCGAGCTGGTCGAGGCTGTCGGGACAGCCAGTGAAGATGAGCGGGGTGCGGGTCCGGAGGTTAAAGCCGATGACTAGCTCGATAATGGCCTTGCGCTTGGACTCCTCCTCGTCGACGATGAGCATGCGCTCAGTGATGTGTAGCGCCATATCTTCGCCGATGATCAAGCGCGAGTCGGGAACCAGGCGCAGCTCGCGGACAAAGGTCTCGGTGACAATGTTGACGGCGCCGGCGGCCTCGGCCTTGGGAACCTCGAGGTGTGGATAGGGCGGCGGTGGTGGCGGCGGGGATGGCGGCGGTGGCGATGGCGGCGGCGGGGGCGGTGGTGGCGATGGCGGAGGTGACGGCGGCGGAGAGGGGGGAGGCGATGGCGGCGGAGGCGGAGGCGGTGACGGCGGAGGCGGTGGAGGAGGCGACGGTGGGGGTGGCGCAGGCCGCATGGGCCCCGTGTAACAGACTTTGTAAGATCCGAGCGAGCCATAGCCCGAGTAGCCACCGGTTGTGCCGGCGCGATCGCCGATGCCCTCGATGGTCAGCTTGTAGTCGTGTGCTGCCGGGTCAACGACCGAAAAAGCGGCGCCGAGCTCGGTGGCGGACGTGGTCGCTTCGGGCAGCGAGCAGGTGATGAGCACATCGTTGGTGCCATCGACCTGGTAGAGACAGGCCTTGATGTTGAGGTTGCTGTATGAGGCATAGGTGGTGTCGAGCGCGGTGGAGACGGTGAGGGTGAAGCTTCCACGCCAGCCGATGGAGATGGCGTAGACGTCGACGTCGGCGTCGGTGGTGATGACGCCCGTCGCGGACGGGCTGCTGCAGCTTCCATCGTCATAGACGATGGTCATGGCTGTGGCAGACGCCAGCGTGTCGCCGGCCTCATCGGCAACGACAGGGATCTTGGAGGCGATGACGGCCAGGTCGTCCTGGGTCGACGTGGCGCCCGAGTAGTCGCCTTTGGACCACTGGGTGACCTCGACGGTGTAGGGCGCGCCCATGATGGGGCCCCAGCCGACGTTTGCAGCGGCACCGGGCACAGCATCGCCGGGATGCAGGGCTGTCACGTCCTTGCCGTCGTTGTACAGGCCCATCATCCGGCCCAGGGCCCGCGAGGCAGCGACGGCGCGCGCGCGAACAGTAACCACATTTGTGTCAAAGACAAAGCCGTGCTCGTACTTGCCCGAGGTCGAGCCAAAGAGGCCAAAGGCGGCCTGCATCGGGCCCTCGTCGCCGGCCACCACATCATTCGAGTTGGTAAAGATGACGGTGGCCCGGTTGGCCAGGGGTGCCGATGTAAAGGTAGACTCCTCGGTCGTAACATCGACGTCAAAGGGGGCAAAGTCCTCAGCCACGGCCGCGTGAATGGTCTTGATCTGGAGCAGCTCGTCGCTGGAGATAGCGGTGCGATCGCCATCATGAGAAAAGGCAGCGACGGTAAAGGCGGCACCCGAGTTCCATGGCGTGCCACTAGGGATGGATGCGCCCACAAAGTTGAGGTAGAAGACCTTGCCGGCGCCAGCCCGGGAGTGGAGAGCGGGGACAACAAGAGACGCGGCAGTCGTCGTCGGAGCAAGTGCCACCGCGAGGAGGAGCAGGAGAGCGAGACGAGCAAGTTTCAAGCGCATCTCGGTGGGGGAGCACAGAGTGTTGGTTGTACCGATGGTGCTGTTGAACTGAAGTGGGGTGGTATGCCTACACTAGCCGGTATCTCCCTCCCCTTCTCCGGCCCCGCCCGCCTCGCACCCACGTTGATGGGGAAATATTGTCGTCGCACGTGCCACCGGGTCGCTCCGCAATTTTTTAGGGAGGCGCGCGGGTGGGTGCGGAGATATTAATGGTCCGAAATTGACAGGTTGGTGGGTTCGTGAACAGTGTCGAGCAGGCACCGACCTCTGGTGGCTGTGCTGAGCCATTATCCCCTTTATTCAGCCCTGATGATCATGCCCTTGAGCATGCCCTTGAGCATGTTGGTCGTCCCGTCCCCTTGATCATAGCCATGACCATCCCCGCCGCCATCCCCGCCACCATCCCCGCCACTATCCCCGCCACTATCCCCGCCACCACTATCATTGTGCCCTTGATCATTGTCCCCCCCTCCCCCCCCACATG